GGGATAGATTCTTCTTCTTAGAGGGATCGATTTTTGAATTTGCCGGATCCCCGTTCGGGGGGATTGGATGGGATGGAGATAGGGAAGGTTTTAGGGAAGATTGCGGATTCTACAACTGATCACGGATGTATTTGGAATATTTTTTTTTCTTTATGGAGGAAGATGGAGACGAGTGAAGGATGAGACATTCGAAGGATCGTTGAATTCTTTACTTAACGAAATTATCCAAATTTAATTCTCATTATTTAATACTACAGTGAAATTTTTCTTCCAAGTCATACATTTTGGCGTCAAAATTAAAAATTTTTCAGAAAATAGTAATTTATCAGATCATCATATTCCATTTTCCAATAATACCATTTAAACGACAGTATATACACAGTAGATTAATGATAATCGTAATTAATTAATTAATTTATTTTTTTTTAATTAGCCTTCGAGAGCAAACAACGGCAAACAAATGATCGATCGATTCGTGAAAAATCCAACGAAACGTTTTCCCAAATGCGCATCGATTTTCAAGGGGTGGAGGGGGAGGGAAGGGGGAGGGAAAACAACGCGCGAGCGTGAGCGAGCAGAAGCGTTAAATTTTCATTAACGAAAATTACGAAGCGAGGCCACGCTGGCTGGCCGCTGATAGTTGCAGCAATTATTTTAAGGATGGCCCTGTATAAATCAGCTGGCCGAACCAAATGAACTCCGAATAGCAAACCACGTCGAATAGAGCCGGAGGGATGTGTCCGCGGAGCAGACCGGTCTCGTAATTAAAAACGAGAAAAAGAAAAAAAAAAAAAAAGAAAAAATGATTTAATGGTTTTCTCGTTCCGCCTTGCAATTTGTCTCCGCGATAAAGTCATACGCGGTCCACGATCCGTCAGAATTTGTCGTTTGATCCTTTCGAGAAATAAAATTAACTAATGTGTTTTTCCCTATCTTTTCTTTTTCAATGTTTTTTTTATCCATTATCTTGGAATGGTTGGTTTTTTTTTATTTTATTGTCAGAGAGTTCTTTCGTTCCGCGAGAAATCTTTTCACGAAGAGTTTTTAAATAGAGATGGATAAATGGATAAAATTTGTTGACAAAGAAAAAAAAATTGTACTACATAGAATTATTATATATACATGCGTACATATATGTATAAAAGAATAAAGAAAATTTTTTCACTTGCCGACACATATAAAGTATTTTTCAATTATTTTTTTTTTTAAAAATTCTTTGGAACGAATGTTACGGTTGCCTTAATAAATCTACCAACCGAGACCTCTACTTTATGTCAAATTTAATTGTTTTCCAGTTTACATCAAACGTAATTGCTCACTTTTTATCATTCTCTCATATCCACAAAGTTATTATTCCGTGGCAAAGAAATTTATATTTATATTTTAATCTCATAATTTTAAATTTAAATTGCAACGTATCTCTGACCCACTTTATAACAAATATTCAAAAATAGAATTTTTAAAATTACGTTCTTTGAAAAATTAAAATGTTATCCACGTATCCAAAAATGTCAAATGTTAAAATTATTAAGATTTACATTAATTCTACATAAAATTGCTAAAAGCAATTCTAACATTCCTTAATAAAAGTTAAAACCATTTTACAATTTTATAATAATTTCAATCTTTGGATATTTAATGTTATCTCTTGTCCTTTTCGAATGTTTCTTTATTCCAACACCTTCTTTTTTTTTTTTTTTATACTTTAAAAGCCACGAAAATACATGCTCTGTCAGATAATCATAACTTGACATGTTAATTACGTCACACTCTCGCGTATATTCATTTGCGAGGATATATTCGTCCCGACCTTTTTATTGCAAACAGACCCGTGAAACGAAATATTTATGAACATTTTTATGAAACTAGACGACGCGAGATTCGTTTGCAAATTTAAAAAAGAGAGGGGCAGGGGGAAGAGGGGGGAAGAGGAACTTAATTTTATTTATCATAATGGTCATTCCATTTTCACGCACGATTCATGCAACCGTTTAATACAATCCACGATGAAATTGCGGCTTGATCGCCGACGAGAATATTTCCATTTAAATCGGATCGAGCCATACAATATCGTCGAAATCTCCATTAATACCTTTGTTACGAGCTCGTGTCCGTTATTTTTAACCTTCTTCCGTTGTTATTTCGTTCCTCCAGAAGATTGGAACTCCATTTATGGCGAATCCACGGTTCTATAAATGCACGGTACACATGGATGGATTGTTTAAAAAGTCGAAACACGCCGTTTATTTTTCGGATAATTCTTCTGGAAGCTTCTAGGTATCGATGCCTATCTTCTCCTATCTTCTCGTAAATATTATTGGGATCGTTGTTTGTTCGTCGATGGCATGAAAAAAAAAAAATTGTATCGAGGAAATACGGTTATTTTTAGAAAATTCGGAACAACTATTTCAGAATAGTTCTCGTATTGGAATTTATTGCTTATCCAATAATTCTTTTCGTTTTAATCCGATTTTAAGGAAACACGGACTTCGAACATTGTCCCGTATTTGGAAAAAAGATTTCTACTTTTATATCCTCTCTAATTCTTCTACAATTGCGATGACCGGGGTCTCTTCCGAGAATTTCTGAAATTCGATAGTTGTATTAGATACTAATACTACGAGCAAACTTTAATCCAATTCCATTTCAATATTTTTCGTAATCAATTTTTATATCTATATCTCATTATACGTTCACGGTAAAACTGTATAACTACGAAACTCATAAAACTGATCAAAATTACGAAATAAATGACTTTTCGATCAATTGCTAATATTATATTTCGAGCCAAAGAATTTTCAAATAATCGATAAATACACATTGGAACAATCGAGGAGTCTATTATATTTTCTTACGTCTTTTCATTTCTAGGATTTCATTGCGAAAAAAGGAAAATGGCGGACGAAAGAAGTCGTCTTCCTTCCTTCAGGAAGTAATATCGTGAAAGATTGACAGGAAGTCGCGCGATATGTATTTCTTCTCCACTTTCTTCCCACTTTTCTCTTCCATCTTCTTCTTTTTATCTTCATCTTTATTCTTCCTTTTGTCGCAATTGTTACGCGCAAAGCGCGATTCGATTATTTCGCCGGTATTATCCGAAGGATCGAAATGCGGATGTTCCTGTTTTTTCTATGCTTTGGATTAAATTCGCGTTACACTCGATTTTCTTTTTTTCTTGGACTTTTTCGTTCTTTGTCGAATTTCGTTTCGTCTTTTCGATTGAAACGAACAATTTTTCCCCTTCTTTTTCCAGCGTAGCGTTTTACGTGGCGTTGTTTTTGTTCCACGGTGAAAATTTCAGACGATTTTCCACCGATTTCGAATCTCGTTGCATTAATTTGGAATCGATTGTAGTTCGATTGTATTTGAACTCTTGAAACTCTCTTCGTACGACAAATAAAAAGGATATTTTTATTAAAATAAATCACGATATAATAATACGAAACATTCGTATTTCAATGTGGATAATATACGCATTAAAGATTTTTACTTCGTGTTGGAAGTTCTTTTTTTGGCATTTCGTTTGAATAAGAAGAGCTTTTTTTTTTGTGAAATTTTTGCGAGAGAATGTACGTATGTATATAAAATTTCAAAATGAAGTTTTAGCATTTCATAAAAAATTCTTTTTACATTTAGTCTTTCATTTAGGTTTTTGATTTAATTCTTTTTCAAAGCTAGAAAATATAGTACCAAGTTTCAAATATGGACGAAGTGAAATACATCGTACAAAATAAACTAATTAATCCCAGAATTGAATGTGCATTTTTAAATATGCTAGATTAAATCATACTCATCTTCTTCATTATATTCTATTTACATTCTTCCATACATACCTAATAGAATTTCTCAAATAAATGACACACAAAATTTTAAATTGCCAAATTTACGATATACAACAACGATAAATCGATAAACACGATCAAATTATTTCAAAGTTAGTTCTCAAAATATATATTCTAAATATAAAAGAAATAAAAAAAAAATACATTCCGAGTACAAAATTAAATATTTCCCCTTCCTTCACAGAGCTTCGTTCCCAATTAAAATCCAAGAATTTTTAGAAAAACGCGATATGGAATGAAGAGACAAATCCCAATTAAAAATCGCAATATGCAGTACTGAATCCGAGCACGCTTTCTAATTAACCCGATGTCCGGTGTACGTTTCAATCGAACAAGGCGCGAAACAGTGACGCAAAAATTCAATTAGAGCGGCGCGATCCGCCATCCATCTCGTTTCTTTTTTTTTTCACCGCCTCCGAAAAAATTCCCCCGCTCGAATACGTTCTCCGTTTTCGGATCTCGTTTCAACGGAAACTCGATTCACGGCGATTCGTCATGGTTAACGCCGGTCATCGCGGCGCCATGCTCGATTTACGAGGATTACACATCCCTGATTGCAATGTACGATCCCCTAGAAGTGGGCGAGAAGCAATTCGACGTGTTACGTGTTTTGCGACTGGACCTAGTCGTAGTCGACGAATTCAGACGAAACAGATTCATCATAAAAATGTCCTCAGCCATCGTCCATCATTTTCTCTCTCTGGTGTCTTTTAATTCAAGCATCGTAGATCGGTTTTTCTTCGTCGATCGATTTTATCGACGCCTGATTGATTGTTTTCTCTTGATTTGTTTTCATTTTTTTTACGTAAATCGTAGAATCGTAGATTTTTATGTTATTTTGAAAGTTTGTGCTCGAGCCTAATTATGGATCCCGAGGAGATTGTAAAATTTATTTTCTTATTTATTGTACATTTTTAGAAAAGTTGTAGCATGTTGTATTGCTGTAAGGTTAACGTAGCTTCGTAGATTTCGTGGAAATTGAACTTATTTCATCACAGTGTATAAGAAATTTAAGAAGGTGTATGATATTGTAAAGTGTTTGTTTAGAAGAAAAAATTTTGGAAGAAAAAAGAATAATTTTATCAGATAATTTAATGTTCGAAGGAGTTTAAACTTGTTGTTTTATATTTAAATTATAACTTATAACATGCGACTTACCGTTTTCTTCAGACGAGATATCGGTGATATGTTCAAACCAGCGATGATCGCCATCAGGGAGTTGAAATTGCCGATGTTGAAACACTCACGGGCTGTTTCGATCCAATATTCAATCACCCGGACTCGTTGTTTCTTTTTTGGATGCTGAAAACCAAGAAACGATAATTCTTTCCCCCCCCTTTTTTTTTAATTGCTTTTCTTGTATCAATATTCATCAATGAATACTTATAAATAATTATTGAACCCGCGTATTCAACTTACTTACCTTGCATACTTCAGTTGCGACGAAATAGCTCAGTCTGTTAAACCATTGGATGTACGATTCGAGATTGCGCGTTTTCTTCATATCCTTAAACGATGTTTCCAGATGAGGGGATTCCTATTTGTTGAATAAATTCACATTAAATCCATCATTGGATTATAAAATTTTTGAAAATTCTCATTCGAATTTCATCAGAAAAGATCAGAAAAGCAAGAAAACTTCAATATTAAAATAAAGCAAACTTATTTCACGTTCGCCTTATCGAATCTGTAGACAAAATTTATCAACATCTTCGAAGCCCAGAAAAGAAAAAAGCGAAGAATACACAATCATCGTGAGTACGTGACAGGAATAAAAAAGCAGACACACACACACACACACACATACACACACACAAAATACAAACCTTGGCGAAAGCTTGGACGAATTCTTCGGGGCCGATGTACGAGAGCCTCTCGAGTTCCACGTGGGTCAATTGCTGGGCGAGGACCGTGGCCGATGGGCACAGCTCGGTGATGTCCACCTGAAAAACACGGTTGACAGTTCCATTCCGCTCCAAGTGTCGAAGAGATCGCGGCCGCCAATGAAATCGCGCAAGTGGCGCGCTACCACCTTTCAATGGGGTGGGAGTATGAAAGCGAGCGATGAAAGGGAGGAGGGTGTGGCCCGATTCGCTGGATGGAATTCACGATGGAAGACAAAAAGCGGAAACGGGCGGAAGCCACACACGCGCCCCTTCCTCCTTTCCTTTCCAATTTTCCCGCTGTCGCCTGCTGCCCGGCCAAATTCAACCCCCGAGTTCTTATCTTCGTGGAGGACGCGGTTTCCAAGTGGTTTCCGGCCGACCGACGTCGCGACGCTCTCGGCCACCCCCTCTCCCTCTCCTCGATAAAGATCCGTCGTAGGGGCGAGCCGTGAGTTGGACGGTGTCGTTTCAAAGGGTTATGTCTCCGTCAACGATTCGGGGGAGGGAAGAGGGAAAGGTTTCGATGCTGTTTCTGATCACTCTGATCCTCGTGTCGGACGCCGAGCGATCGACCACCAAGTTTATATTGGACTGTTGTGCGCGGATTTGATGTTTAACAGCAGAGGGGATATGGAGGGTTTATGGAGGGTGTATTAATTTAAGTTTCTCGAAACGATAGTCGGAGTAATGATTCGGAGTTAGAGGTCGGATGATATTACGGGAAAGAGCGGAGGGGTTATCGTCTTTTGCGGAGTCGTTGCGTTGGATATTATTGGGGATAATTTTTAGATCGTAGATTGTTAAATGCTTTACGTCGCCGGGTTGGATATTATTCCGTGGATTTAGGGTCGTTTGTGTCGGGGATATAACGTTGTACATCCGTTGTAAATTCGTTTTATTGCTTACGAGTTTTATATTGTAAGGGAAGATAGCAAAGGGAGGAAATTTTGGTGGAACCGTTTCTATTTTGTTAGATGTAGAAATTTTTAATATTCGTTATAATTAAGAAATAGTTTATATGTGTAACAATTATTTAACAAATATATATCGAAATATAAATTGAATTATTTAACGTGATTTTAAGATAGTTCCTCAAATTGCTAATCTAAAAATTAATCAAAATTTTGATCAAAGAGTCATCTTGGATCAATCGAAATAAATTACGATGGTTGATTGCTGGTTGAACTCATCGAAATGGGAGAAGTTAAACGAGAAAAACATCGAGCATCATATTTTTTCTATTTCCATTCCACGTTCGAAATCATTTATAATTATTTATGTTCGTCATCGCAACGATGATTTTAGAATAAGTCCCGCGGATGTTTCAATTTCGAATCGAACGTGTTCGATCATTCATATATATCCACCTCCAAAATTTGTATTCTCTCTCGTTCAACTTCGAAATAGCGATCCGCAAACACTGATCCATATCACTGCTCGAAAAACGACTCGATTTCGTCGTCTCGTCTATTATTCATCCTTTCATTGGGACTCCCCTATTTCGTTTGTTTTCCTTCTTGATTGAATTTCGCGCCCCCTTAGCCCATGTTTCGATGATGATTGCGCGGTTAAACGATGAAAATCGATGGAAAATTGGATTTTTTTTTTTTTAACATGTCAAGGATTCATAATAGAAATATATTGGTAAATGGTAATTTTTTCTTTCTTTCTTTCTTTTGGGATTTTGGGATTTAATAAAAAGAATTTTTGTTACAAATAATAGCGTAAATGTTTGGGTAAATGTGTACGAATTTGAATTAATTTTTATATTAAAATTAGAAGAAATAAATAATTTGTTGTAAATAAAGTAATAACGAATAAAACGTAAAAGTTTAAAAATTATTTTTCATACGTTATTTTATTTAAAACCGCGATTGTAATTAAATTATTATGATATTCATCGTGTAAATGAAATAGAAATTATTCTTTCATGAAATTTTGACAATTTTTCAGCGAACGCATTAGGGAATTACAGTAGTTAAAAATGACGATTAACGCGGTCGGATTGCGTAAAAGTAATTGCTCGTGCTACTATAATTAGCCGACTGTTATTCACGTTTCAACGAAATATATGGAAATTGCTAGCAATTGCAGTCCGTGATAACAATCAAGTAATTGCAAAATGAACATTCTTCGACTGTGTTCCTTTCACGTCGTCCTAATAATAATTTTCATAATAATTTCGATTCTCTTACCAGCGAATTTTCAATATTTTTCAATATTTCATCCTCTCTTTACCCTAATTTATTTTTTATTCTATATATAATTTTTTTTATTCTATTTTTTTTATTCTATATAATTTTTCCAACAAATTTTATAATCTCAATTCTATACCTACACCATTTCCACAGAATTGTTCTCTTGTTGTAATAAGTTCATTTACTGTTCCAATGACCTCTTCATCATTTTCAAAGGTTCTTCCGCTCGAAGAGTTCTGAAGAGAGATCTGATAAGATAAAAATCGAAGAGAAGAGAATATCACAGATAACTTAAAGAACATTCTTCAACTTTAACATTTTTTTATATTTTATACTTTTCTTTCATTATTGATTGACAGAATTCTTTTTATGTAATCAATAACATCTATATAATGATCGACATAAAAAAATAACACATAAAAGATCAATTATTATATTAAGATCCATATCTCTATCCTATCCATATATCCTATCGATTATCAAATTATTAAATTTATTATAAGCAATAAATATCATATACGTATGCAAGAATAATCTTTCGATCAATCTTTAAGTACTTTTAATCGTGATAATAGATAGAATTTGAAGAATCACCCATTCCTTTCACGCGTTGATGAAACACGTCATACCCTTTTCTCTCGACGCGACTCAAGAGGAAAGACCATCGAGTTTGAACGGGATCAGCGAACCGTGAAGTGATTCGATTATGGGGCGAAACGATGGCCTCCGTTTCTTCGAATTAGATCGTCGATCGAATTATGAAGCGAGCGGGGGTTGGCCGATATGACAGGGAGGAAACGAGGCTGACAGCATTCGTTCCTAACTGCCCGCGGCAAACGTTTTGATTTATGCGAAAATTCTCCCCTCAATTTCCTTTCCGATAAAAGGACGAGACCAACGACGCGTGAATCTTCGCGCCTTGCAAACAATTGGCGATTATTATGCGTTGAGGGATTGATAACGCTTCCGATGAAAATAGAATGGAAATTGGGTTGATAAATAGTTATTTTAAGTTCATAAATATGCATTTTCATTTTTTTTTTTTTTATTTTTATACAGAATTACAGTTTTGATAGTTTAGGAAAATATGGCGAACGTTTTTGATTGATAACAAATTGATAGATAACAGCAGTCATGTCAGCAAATATATTTTGAAAGATATATATATATATATATATATATAATAGGAAGTATGGAATGTTAATTTTTTATCAAGATAGAGTATCAGAATCGAATAAATAATTTCTGTTTTCGAAGATGGACGAAATAGAATGAAGAAATTCATAAAGTAAGAAAATTTAGTTGGTTCGAATTAAGGAAGAAAAACTGCAATGAAGAAAAACAACATGTAAAGAAATATTAACGACGAGATAGTAAGTTTCCGTTGAAATTAGCAGTGATGCTAGATGGCGAAATTAAAAACGATACGCTTCGCGGTTTCTCGTTATACGGGGTTGCAAAAATTTTTAAAGAAATTGAAAGCTTTTAGCGTCCATATAAATGAAATTTATTCGTAGCGATGCATCATATCCTCGTAAAAGCACAAAGTTAAAAAATAATAAAGATAGAATTAAAAATTTTTTGTCAATATATTCTAATTACGATAGAAATTATGTATTTTTCAAATATTTATTTTATACCTTAAAAGTAGAAGAAATTTTAATAAAACAAATTTTTAAATAACAAATTTAACGATAAAAAAACAAAAATTTCGAAGAATTAGAAAAATTTCGAGATTAAATGCACAAGATAATTTAATTTTAAGAAATAATACAAACTTAGCCATACTTAGCCATATGTATGGCTATCGTATTTATTCGATTATTTCTTTCTCTCAAGGTTTTTTTTTTAAAGAATATTAACAGATGTACGCGCAAAGTCTAATAATAAAATCTTCTCACCAAGGAATAGAACATAATCCCATAATTACTATTCTACCTATAAACAAGCAAAATTTCCTCAAGTTTGAAATTGCTCGAGTTTGGCCAGCGATAATGTTTGTTATGTTCAAAGAAACATCGAGGAAGACATTGCGCAATCCTCCAGAGAATCGAGATATGCAACCAAATACAACACATCCCTGGATATTGCCATAGTTTCTTATATCTGATAATTAATAACGGCTTTGAAACGGCTACGTATTTCAAATTAATATCAGTGCTACAATTTCATCCAATTCTCGTTTCTTGAAGTATCAGTGAATTGAAGTTGATTAACAATTTTATATTTGGAACATTGGAAATTTTAAGCGCAGAGTTGACTAATTTAATCGGTTTAAATTAAGAAAAAAATCATCCTCGATTCTCCATTCTCTCTCTTGATACATATAAAAGATTTTTTGAAAAAATTCTACTTATATTTTAAAACGAATTTAGACAGACAATATTCTTTTACGAAGTTATAACAGTTCAAATTACGAGTAACAATTTAATAATCTTTTGGACAAGTAAAGAGTAAGATTTTAATTGCAAAAAAAAAAAATACAATTATTAAAAATAATTCTCTTATATTATAATTCTTTCTTCTTATATTATAATTCTTATATATTATATATTATAATTCTTCTTATATTATAATTCTTTCTCTTATATTATAATTCTCTTATCGAATTATAACTATAAACTTTATGAACTTCATAAAACCAACTATACCAAATTATTCAAATTATGATTATTACATTCACAATACGAAATTCAGATTAAGTATATTTATAATTAATAATAAAAATAATAATAATAATAATAATAATCGATCGGCGCACAATTATACAAAACGAGTAATGACACGGTTCGATCATTTAAAAGCAGCCATTAAATACGGTATTCGAGTATTCAAGGGGTTGTAACGGAGTTAATACGG